GTCCACCCCAGGTGTCACCACTGGGTTGTTTTTTTTTACAAAATGCCAGGCAGCACTCACCACAGGGCCTGCAGCGCACCCAAGCCATGTGTCTCTCCTGGGAGTGATGCGGTGGCTTGGGCGCATGCAGGCTCCACACTGCCCCATACGGTCCGCTCACCACCTCCCCCTCAGCTGTAGGGCAGCTGAGTGGGAGGAGGCAGGCAGTCTCCTCAGAGACCCATCAGAGTGTCCTGCACCGGCTGACCCCACCTGCAGGCGGCTGGCCCCACCCCGGGCACAGGGCACACACACTGCCCCAGGCGCCCGATCGGCTTGCTCTACTGCTGGGGGGAGGAATACCACTTTTGAATGTTTATCCCATGCAAAAACTAAGTCTCTGCAAAAACGTCTACTGGTATTTCAAGGAGAAAGAGGCATTTTTTACCTAACACTCTAGTTTTCTATCTGCAGGGCAGTCACTTGCAGTTTGAAATGATGTCGTCTCTTCTCATACTGTTGCGTGTTTAGACCCAGCCAAGGTTTCAGGGAAGCAGGATGTGTGTGTGTGGGGGGGTATTGTAATGCTATTGAAGAATGTGGAAATGGAAGTAGAAATAAAGAGATATGGAAGGGACCTGAAGCAGCATCTTGTAATACCACTCCTGTAGGCTTGCAATGGCTTCTGTGACCCTGCACAGAGAAACAGTGGCATTGTGAGGTATCTGAAGAATTGTGCATGCACACGAAAGCTTATACCCAGAACAACCTTAGTTGGTCTCTAAGGTGCTACTGGATTTTATATATATATATATATATTTATTATGGCATTGTGAGGGTTACACTTTCCCAAACTGCAGGTATTCCTCACCTGCAGGGAACATTTGGCAGCAGAAGAATCCAAAGTCCACATCATGTGAGAATAAAGGCTGACTGCACAATTTGCTTCAGTCAACAAAAGCACTTCAGCTTCTCTTCCTCATCCTCAGATGGGCTGCTGGTTGGGCATGTGAGTCATCCGTGAAATGTTTTTTTCGACGGCAGCAGATAGGCAGGAAGTTTTGAGTGACCTCTCCTGAACTGCGTTTGAGATTGCGAAACCCGTCCTTATTCAAACAGCTTGATGCTGCATCTCAGTCCTTGGGTGGAGGCAAGACAGGACTATAAAAACCAGCGGGAGATTGTGCTCTGGAGGAACTACTGCAGTCTCAAAAGACACAAAAATGTAAAGAAATAATAATATATAAAAAAGCAGTGGTTTGATGTATGTGTGAACTGAAAAATAATAATTTTGAGCTGGAATATTGTAGCCAGAGGATGGAACAGAAGAGCTTAAGATTGGAACAGAACAGCTCCTTGTGATTTAGGCAACATCTCCCCAAGTGATTAATGACTCGGAGGGGAAAGGTTGTAGCTCAGTGGAGGAGCATCTGCAATGCATGCAGAAATTCTCTGGTTCACCCTGTGGCATTTCCAAGTAGGGGTGGGAAGAGCTCCTTGCCTGAAACCCTAAAGAGGTGCTGCCAGCCAGTGTAGACAGTACTGAGCTAGATGGACAAATGGCCTGACTGAGTATAAGGTAGTTTCTTATACAGTGGTACCTTGGGTTACAGACGCTTCAGGTTACAGAGGCTTCAGGTTACAGACTCCGCTAACCCAGAAATAGTACCTCGGGTTAAGAACTTTGCTTCAGGATGAGAACAGAAATCGCACAACGGCAGCGTGGCAGCAGTGGGAGGCCCCATTAGCTAAACCTCAGGTTAAGAACAGTTTCAGGTTAAGAACGGACCTCCAGAACGAATTACCGTATTTTTTGCTCTATAAGACACACCAGACCACAAGACGCACCTAGTTTTTGGAGGAGGAAAACAAGGAAAAAAATATTCTGAATCTCAGAAGCCAGAGGGATCGCTGCGCAGTGAAAGCAGCAATCCCTCTTGCTGTTCTGGCTCCTGGGATAGCTGCAGAGCCTGCATTCGCTCCATAAGATGCACACACATCTCCCCTTACTTTTTAGGAGGGGAAAAGTGAGTCTTATAGAGCAAAAAATACGGTAAGTTCTTAACCCGAGGTACCACTGTATTCCCAAATCATTTCCACAACTGAACCACCACCTTCACTACCACTGTGATCAGGGCATTCATTTCAAAGTGAACATGTGTTCTGATGGGTGAGTGAAGTTCATTTTTTATTTTAACTAATAGTCAGGCTCACACAGCCAAAAGGTGTTACCGTTGGGATGTTTTGATTTACCCTGCATTGGTCAGGGATGATGGGAGTTGGAGTCTGGCAACACCTGGAGGGACACAGATTTCCTATCCCTGATCTGTATCCTAGAGGAAATAGCAAAAGATGTAATACATTTTGATTGGCAATCAATAAATGCCAGGGATAGTCAACATGGTGCTCTCCAGAACTTGTTGGACTACAGCTCCCATCATCCCCTAGTCAGCATGCTCCTTGGGTAAGGATAATGGGAGCTGTAGTCCCGTAAGATCTGGAAGGCACTACATTGGCTACTCCTGTAATAAACCAGCAACTTGAAGCATTGTAGACAATACTGGACTAAATTGACTAACTGACCTGGTGGGAAGCCGCTTCCTATGTTTTTAGGTGGGATGTGTGTATCAAATGTGTCAGGGTTTGCTCCTGGGAAGAAGGTCCCTGCCCACATGTCCAGAATGTTCAGGATGAGCATGTCCATCAAAAGGCTCTAGATTAGTTTTGCAGATGGGCCAGCGTTCAGAATTCATCAGTTGCATTTTGCACTTGGCTATTGGCCATTTGCAGCCAAGTGAAAGTGCCTGGATGGTGCCTGACATTTCCGCCATCTGGAGGTGCAGGCCTAGGGATCCTTGAATCTTGCATGTTTTCACACACTAACAACAAATCCTGTAGCAGAACAAATTTCAGGAATCAAAAAGTTGTATTGAAAAATACAACTTTCAAGCCATCTGGCAACTAGACATTCCATTTTGGCAACTGTAATCTGGGTTTAAGAAGCTGTTTGGCACCTTGCTTATATATCTGAGTTTCTAACAATGAGGTGGGTAGAATGGGGTGTTTTCCACCTGTGGTCTGAAGTCGTCCAGTGAGCAACAGAAATATCTGACAAAGCTGCTTACTGTGTTAATCTAAGGACTCTGTAGTGGCTCACAGTTAGGCACAAGTGCTGGTGCATTAATGAAAACTATTCCTCCTATTCCTCCTATCTCAAAGCTACAAACATGAGTCTGACCAAACTGCAGGAGGTAGTGAAAGATAGGAGTGCCTGGCGTGCTCTGGTCCATGGGGTCACGAAGAGTCGGACACGACTAAACGACTAAACAACAACAATTCCTCCTATAGCACTTGTAACAATTCATATATTCTGTGGTTACCTGAGCACAGTTGTGAATGTTTCCTATCCCCCTCTCCGCCCTGCAGCAGTGCAAATAACAAAACTGTACAGGATGACAACCAGGGTTTGTAACTTACTTATTACGATGCCAGATTATTTTATTTGCAGAGGTCAAGGGCATTTCTTACAGCAAGCTAACTCACCTTTCTCCAGCAACTTAGAAGCTTTGTACGGTGATTAATATGCTCAGGATCACTTTCAGGTGTAACTGAGCTCTTGGAGCTCTCTAGTGTATTTTGCTTTATATGCTGCATGATTTAAGGGCGAAGCAATTTAGGCAAATCGTCATCCTGGCACCCCGACTCCCAATGTCATCTCTGTGAAAAGGTTGCTCATAAATCCCCAAAGATGATTGGTTCTCACTTTTAAGTTCTCGGCAGCTGGCAATAAAGATGGCTGCTCACCTGATCCTTGTTAATGTCATTGCTTGAATATTCAGGCATCTCCATGCATTATTCATAAGCAGGGCTGTGTGTACATCGTGATACTACAGGAGCACAGGGAACTGGCAGAATGGAGTACCTTGCACACCGTTCAGCTTCCCAAGAATCTATGGGTATCTTTTCTTTAAAATAAATAAAAACAAAACAAAATGGAACAGTAAGGTTTCTAGTCCTTATTTTAATTTTAGGTCATCTTCTTTTGGGTCCTGTTTCTTGTTCGGGATCATGGTGGTCTTTGTGGTTCCAGCATTCCCCTCGGTTGCTGCCATTTTGGCTTTCTCATCGATCCTGTTTCGGGTTGGTTTCTAGTCCTGAAAGGGATGCTTTGAGTTTTTAGAAGTGAGAGGGATGGCTGGATAAGATTTCTAGTTGTTGAGGGTGCTACTTCAGCACCCTTCAGTACAAGTAGAATGGGGGGGGGGGGAATTGTGCAACATAGTAAAAGTTAGCAGAACAGGCATAATAAAATATATCACTACTGAATGATAAGAGTTGGAAGGGAGATCAAAGATCATCTGGTCTGATGCCTTGCCAATGCAGGGAATCCATTGCTATAGCATTACTGATAAGTGATCATCTGACCTCTGCTTAAAAACCTCTTGTGAAGAAGAGCCCGGCTACCTTCCACAGTAGGCTGTTCCATTGTCAAACAGCTTCTACCATGAAGATATTGCAAATGTTTAATAGACATCCCTTTTTCTATAAGCTGAATCTGTTGGTTTGGGCTTTGCCCTCTGGAACAAGAGAAAACAAATGTCTTCCATCATCTTCTACAGAACAGCCCCTCAGGTATTTGAAGATGGTTCCTATATTGCTTCTTGACCATCTTTTCTCCAGGTTAAACATAACCACTCTCCCTAAACTGTTCTTCATAGGACAAAAGCTGCAAGCCTAACCATGTCTACTCAGAAGAAAGTCCCACTGAATTCAGTGGTGCTTAAACCAAGATACCTGGTGTTAGGATTGCAGCCTTAGACCACATCCACACCATATACTTGAAGCACTATGATGCTACTTTAAACAGGCTCACTGTGATCAACTTCCACCCAGAAACCTATGTCCCCACTGTGGAAGGACGTGTGGATCCAGAATTGGCCTTCACAGTCACTTATGGACTCACTGTTAAGACTGTGTTCATGGGAGACAATCTTACTTGGCAATGAGTTATCGCCAAAGAAGGAGGCCCCTATTCCTCTCACAGAGCTACAATCTCCAGAGTTTAATAATCAATCCCTCTTCCCAGAGAACTCTGAGAATTGTAGTTTTGTGAGGAGAATAGGAGTCTCCTAACAACTGAATCCTTACAGACCCCCCTTTTTTCAGCCATTTGCATCATACAATCTATAATATTATTTAAGTCTCCTAGATCATATTTGCCAGAGCGTAGAACTATCACAGTTTATGTTAACCTTAAGAGGCAGTGAGACTATGTGGACTGGTGTATATGATTTGGTAAAACTATTGTCCACACATCCTCCCATAAATGTCTTTTTAAATGCCTGTTTAACTAGGTCTCTCTCTCTCTCTGTGTCCATATATCTAAAAATGTCATTTGAAGCCTTTGCAGAAGCTAGAATGATTTTGAGGCTTTCGCAAAAGAAGAAGAAGAAGAAAAAGATGTGTGTTTTTCATGTTAATTTTCCTGGTGCAAATAAAGGACAGTGTTTAACTGTTCCCTACTGCCCTGGGCACCAATTCTGGACACTTCATTCCCATTTCTCCCAAGCTTAATGATACTATTGGATGATGAGAGGTGAGTGACCTTTCCAAATGAAAGAGCTATAATCGCAGTCCCCGTTCTGGTCTTCATTTGCAGCCCTGCCAAGCAGGATGAGTAATAGAGCCCTGTGGCATCCCAGTTGCCGGCTGTACAGGAAAATATACTTATCCATTGATCCAGACTCCCTGAAGGTTTCTGAGTGCAGATAAATGCAAAGGCAAGTGGGGAGTTTAACTTCAATATGCACAGATTTATATGTACACATCTTAAAATGAAAAGTTGCTTTCAACTGAGTGTTCTGCTTTCCAGCAAGCTTTCACGCCTCTGCCGTAACCGTAAGCCAGCTGTGAACCTCAGACCGCATTTCTCACTCCTTCAGATTGCCCCAACCAAAACCTTTTTGTGCCACCAATAAGGCAGGTGGCGTGACAAAAAGGTGGACACCTTGCAACTTTTCAGCTCGGAAAGTTCATTATGGAGGAAGCTTGAGCTTTCAGGGCAGTGTGTGTGGACAGGTCCAAACAGGGGTGACCATGACATAGTGAGGAAAGATCCACACTACTGACTCCACCTCTGTTAAGCATGCATGTTGCCCTGTAATGTAGGATTCCATAGTAGGGTTCCAACATAGGAACATAGAAAGCTTTCTTATCATGAAGTGCATCCCACTCCTTGCCTTCATGTGCCCGTGAATTCATGAAAAGCAACTTGTGAAGGGGGCTAATATATTTCCCTGTATCTAGAGATCCATGCTACACTGAGGACCCTTTCTCTGTTAGAATTGAGGTGGACTCTACCAGCAATGGACACTCAACCTATGGCTGCACAGGCTGGTTTTCAGTTGCGGATTCCCATGCAATTGGGGATGCCAAGTGGTAAATGTGGTGTAGTCATTAGAGTGTTGGACTGGGACCTTGGAGACCAGGGTTCAAATCGCCTCTCAGCCATGAAGCTCATTGAGTGTCCTTGGGCCAGTCACTCACTCTCAGCCTAACCTACCTCACAGGATTGTTGTGAGGATAAAATGGGGAGGAGGACAATGATGTGGATGCTACCTTGATCTCCTTCAAGGAGGAAGAGAATAGAAATGTAATAAACAAATCCATCTCCATTGTAACCCTGCTCTTTCACCACCTCATGCTCCCTGGCTCATGAACATCTGCATATATCATCCTGAATCCACAGTGTCAAGCTCCATGTTATCCAGAATCCTATGGAATCTTTCCTCTGCACTGAAACGGACCACAAATCTCAGTGGAGAAAAGATTCATTTGTGGAGTGTCATATAATGAGCTCCCAATTTACACATGAACAGGGGTTTTAAATGTTTGTGTGCTTATGAACCAAAGTAGAAGACACGATCTCAAAGGCGTTGGGATCGAAGAGGCAGGAACCAGTGCTGTTCAGTGGGCCTAGTTGCATAAAAGATAGGAGTAGAGTGACCACTTATGAATTGCCACTGAGATGAAATTCTTCACTGGGCTGTAGCTCTGTGGCAGAGCAGCTGCTTGGCATGAAGAAGGTTCCAGGTTCAATCCCCAGCATCTCCAGATAGGGCTGTGAGAGACTCCTGCCTGAAACATGGGAGAGCATCTACCAGGCAATATTGCAATCCTGAGCTGAGTTGGACCAATGTTCTGACTCTCAGTTTAAGGCAGCTTTCTATGTTCCTACAAAAGAGGACTGAGATATGTATGAAAATTGTGTGTGATAGTTTTGAAATAATTACGATAATTTAAGTAGTAATACAGTGCACCTCACCTCAGTGGGGAAGATTTTGACAAGGTTACCTGTGTGGCTGCACAATCTGCTGTCCAGCTGCTGACTACAGATTAACATCTTCAGGGCCCCTGCTGCTCTCCGTCTGGCTCTTCATCTTTAAACAGGACTTGGACAGGATAGCCCTTCAAACAGAGATCTGTCCTCTGCAAAGTAGGACACGTGGCCTCCCTTGATGGGTCAGAGAGTGCAAGTACAGTAATTCCTATTCATTTCATCCTTTTTTCTTTTGTTTTGAACTTGCAAGTAGTCACAGTATTTTCCACGGAAAGTGTGCAAAATGGCTGTGGGTTTCTCTCCCCCATTTCTCTTTCTCATCTCTCATTGCTTATTGGAGCAAAGGCGTCGAGTTCACAAAACATTTCCTAAGGCAGCATGTACCTGAGGAAGTGGAGGGATTTGTTGTGGTTTTGTCTTCTTGCTTGCTTGCTTGCTTGCTTACTTCCTTCAACTTTTGTTTTTTAACCAAAACTGTTCAGCACAGCTAAAATAGAGCAGCTGTAGAAGAATTAAAGCTTGCTTTTAGGTGAAAAAACACACACCGCACAAATGCCAAACAATTGCTTGACAAGAGAGAATCAGGTTGCTGAACTGATTGTTCTGTCTCAAGAGTTTCAGTTTGTTACCCTACCCACTCACTTCTCTGTCTTCTCAGAAATCATCTCCACATTTGTTTGTTTGTTATTTACAATATTCAGATACAACTTCTATTTTTTAAATACACATATCTAACACCAGGAGGGACAGGCTTCCATAGAAACATATAATTAGATAAATAATAAGCATAAAACTAAATAAATAAATAACTAATGCAAATAATACCATCCTTACAGACTATCCATGCACAAGTTTGACAAGTTCTGTTCACAGTCCAGGAGTTCAAGATCTCTTCACAGTATCGGAGAAGTATTACAATCAATCATATCTTGCTTCATATTCCCAAAGGCCTTGAATAATTCCCATTCTTGCTTAAATTGATTAATTATCTGCTTCCTTCATCCTACCCATAAAACCCAAGTTATCTTACTGAACCTTGCAAAGTCCCAAAGTTTAATCAACCAGTTTCTTAGACGAGGAATTTCTTTAATTTCCCCCACTGTTTTGCATATATCATTATAGCTGCTAGGAGAGCTACCAATTTTCTACTATAATAGAACAGTTGACTGGAATTCGACATAAAATAACCTAACAGAAGGCCTGGGAGACCAGGATTCAGGTCCCCATTCAGCCACAGAGCTCTCTGGGTGACCTTAGGCCAGTCAGTGCCTCTCAGCCTAACTTACCTTAGAGCATGGGTAGGCAAACTAAGGCCTGGGGGCAGGATCCAGCCCAATCACCTTCTAAATCTGGCCCACGGAAGGTCCAGGAATCAGCCTGTTTTTACATGAGTAGAATGTGTGCTTTTATTTTAAATGCATCTCTGGGTTATTTGTGGGGCATAGGAATTCGTTCATTTCCCCCCCCCAAAAAAATATAGTCCAGCCCCCCACAGGGTCTGAGGGACAGTGGACCGGCCCCCTGTTGAAAAAGTTTGCTGACCCCTGCCTTAGAGGGTTGTTGTGAAAATGGGAAGAGGGAAGAACCATGCATACCACATTGAGCTCCTTGGAATACCGAATATGGAAAGATAGAATATAGATACAGATAGATATACAATTTTAAAAATAATTAAAAATAAAATTTAAAATCCCACAAACCTACAATGCTAGAATCAGTCAAAAAGAATATAAAAAAAGAGCAGACAATAAGGACAGCGCTCACCGAAAAGCAAAAAGGGGTTATATCTCTGCCATTTCCCCCCATTTTCTTCCTTTAAAGGATTCCTGATTCTTTAATAGGTGCATGATGAGCAGAAGCTTAGCTAATGAAGCTTTCCCCAGTATGCAAATGCAGCAATTAGAAGAACGAGGAGAGCATTTGCAGTAGCGCTGTGCCAAAATCTGGTCCTCCAGTTTCTTGAAAGTTTCCGTTTTCTGTGACAGACTTCCATTCTCCCCCCCCCCCTTGCTTCATTCTCAGGACACATTTCATTGCAGGGTCACCATGGTGTGTGCTTGCATGTGTTTTTCTGTGCAGTAAACATTTCTCCAGTTCTCTGCTGCCTCCACAGCTGCTCAGGCTTTCTGATCTGAAAAAGTCCCCTTGAAGGAGTTATCTCAACTTGTTTCACAATGCACTTTAGTTGAAGTCCAGATTCAACTTATTGTGCTAGAAGCCGGTGCAACGAATCCCATTAGCACAATGGGACTTCGCCCCCTTCTCCCCCGGTGTGTCCCCAGTGTCCTCACCCAAATCTACTGGGGGGGGGGGTCAGGAGAACACCCAGAACAGGACGCAAGGGGAGGAGAGGAGAGGAGAGAGAGAGTTCTTGTTTGGCAAGCAAAAAAACACTTATCCTGCAGCAGGGGGTGGGGCATAGCTGTCAACCTTCCTTTTTTTGGCGGGAAATTCCCTTATACCAGTGCTGCTTCCCGCTGCTATCCCGGATTGTTAGATATCTCGTAAACTGTCTCTGGGACAGGTGAGGCTGCTGATCCCTTATTTTCAAATCTGAAAGTTGACAGCTATGGGGTGGGGGAGAGAGGAAATAGACCTTGATTGTTAATGGGATGCAGCAAGTCTGGCATTAATATAAGCAACAGTGGTACCTCGGGTTAAGAACTTAATTCGTTCCAGAGCTCTGTTTTTAAGCTGAAACTGTTCTTAACCTGAAGCACCACTTTAGCTAATGGGGCCTCCCGCTGCCGCTGCACAATTTCTGTTCTCATCCTGAAGCAAAGTTCTTAACCCAAGGTACTATTTCTGGGTTAGCGGAGTCTGTAACGTGAAGCGCCTGGAACCCCAGGTACCAGTGTATATGCAAGTTGCTAAAATAAATGAGAAGTTTGTAAAGGACTGTTTCAGCCTTTGGGTGCATAATCTACCAAGAATGGCCCTTTCACAACCTCATCTATTTGACTAAGGCCTGTATGGAAAAGAGTGCCTGGTGGATTACACCCTTCAGCTGCTTCTGCCAGTTCAGATACTTATGATGCTCTTGAACTCTTGCGCCCTGTCAGTATTCTGCATACCAGTGTATATAGAAAGGGTATACTTTGAATTTTCATTTCCCTAAACGTATTTCTAAAAAATGACACCTTGAGGATAGCCAATGTCTACGCCGTTCCTCAGTCTCTAGCAGGTCTTCCCATCATAGAATCGTAAGAATTAGTGATGGGAAGCATATGGGTTCATGACCTCGCCAGTGCGGAACTGTTCCATTAATTATACTTTACAGCATTTTCCATTCCACATTTTAATGTTATTGAATGATGCGGCTTCCTTCTCTTCTCTTGGGAAGACTATTTTATGTTTTTGCGATCGTTCTAATCAGCCCCATTACACTTGTCTTTTAATTTCTCCTTTGGGGAATCCAGTAAATATGCTAAACCTCTCCTGGTTTCCATACCAGATTTGGCAGACTTGTTCAGTACTGAGGGCCATGTCAGAAATGTATCATAAACCAGAGGGCTGCAGCTAAATTAGCATGTTTTACACTGGAAAATGCCAAATGTATGTGACACACACACTCAGCATTATTATTATTATTATTATTATTATTATTATTATTATACCACCCTATACCCCCAGGTCTCGGGGCGGTTCACAGAATAAAATCAGAATAAAAACCACAAAATACATAATCAAAATGAAAACAACAAGAACCCAATAACGCCACATTTCAAAAGGGCATAGGGTGTCAATCAAATCAACCAAAGGCCTGCTTAAAAAGGATCGTTTTTGCCTTGGGGAGAGCATTCCACAGATGGGGAGCCACTGCAGAAAAGGCCTGTTCTCATGTGGCCACCCTCCAGACCTCTCGAGGAGGAGGCACACAAATGATGATGATCTCCCTTCAGAAGATGATCTCCCTCTGTTCCCTCTATTTCTGTCTATGGTCCGTTAGGGCATTTGCATATGAAAGAGCATAAGGGCCCTGCTGGATCAGGCCAGTGGCCCATCTCCTCTAGAGCCAGTGTGGTGTAGTGGTTAAGAGCGGTAGACTCGTAATCTGGGGAACCGGGTTTGATTCCCCGCTCCTCCACATGCAGCTGCTGGGTGACCTTGGGCCAGTCACACTTCTTTGAAGTCTCTCAGCCCCACTCACCTCACAGAGTGTTTGTTGTGGGGGAGGAAGGGAAAGGAGAATGTGAGCCACTTTGAGACTCCTGAAGGGGAGTGAAAGGCGGGATATCAAATCCAAACTCTTCTTCTTCTTCTATCCTGTTCTCACAGTGGCTAAACAGATGCCTGTTGGAAACTCAGGAGCAGGACCAGAGGACAATAGCACTCTCTTCCCTGCAATTCCCAGAAACTGGTACAGTGGTACCTCAGGTTACATACACTTCAGTTTAAATACGCTTCAGGTTACAGACTCCGCTAACCCAGAAATAGTACCTCAGAACTTTAAGAACTTTACTTCAGGATGAGAACAGAAATCTTGCAGCAGCGGTGCAGTGGCAGCAGGAGGCCCCATTACCTAAAGTGGTCCTTCAGGTTAAGAACAGTTTCGGGTTCAGAACGGACCTCCGGAACGAATTAAGTACTTAACCCAAGGTACCACTGTATTCAGTTATACTTCCGGGCCCAAGTGCTAGTTTTCACCTATAAAGCCTTAAGTGGCTCAGGACTGCAGTACCTCATGGATAGCCTGGGTTTAATCCTGAGCAGCTCCAGGTAGAGCTGGGTATGTCAACAGCCTGAAACCGTGGAGAGCTGCTGCCAGTTGGTGTAGGCATTACAGAATCAATATAAGATAGCTTCCTATTTCCCTACTAGTCATGTATCGTCATGAATGATAAAGCAAGCTTCATGTCAGAAACAGCCGACAGACAACAATTGCCAACAGGGTTTTATGCGGTATTAGATCTTACGGATTTATTTATTTATTGTTTAAGTTTAGTTTATATTTGATCTACGGACCTTAAACAACAGCTGCAGTGTGACGTTATCAAGGCAACCACAGCAGAGGAGAAAAATATCCACAATATACGTGCACACAAAATGTGTCTTTTAAATCAAGGGTATAATAAAACCTGCGAACAATCAGAGATAGTTAAAAATACAAACAATAGTTGTGTGGTCTGGCATTAATGGTTATAGCAAGGAGCTGGGCTATGTTTTCCATTATAAAAACCCAACAGATTTTTATGTTGTACTAGATATTATGGTTTATTTATTTGAAAGAAAGCAGCTCGATATAAATACATTTAAAAAGCGAATTGAATTTTCAATCGTTACACATAAGCTAATATTCGAGACCTTATGGTCTTATGTTTGTATTTTTGTGTTAATCATTATTGTCGAGACCTTGTTTTTAGGCAGCATATGAATATATTAAAAGATAAGTACATAACTTAGCATTAAACTGCTAGGCAAAATGCCATATTCTGGATAGGACATAGATGCAGATTCATGAGATCTTCTTTATTTGTTTAATACATAATTTCTATATTAAAACTACAGAAAATTAGGCACACACACACACACACACACACACACACAAAACCAGCAAAAGCCTTCAGCATGAAACAGAAGGTTTAAAAATCATGTGGATATTAAACAACTTTTGTTGACTGCTGCAAATATGTGAGTGCAGGGGGTCAGGTGACTATTTCAAAGAAAGGGCACCATAACGGAGAAGTCCCCACCCCCAGTCACCACCTGTTTCACCTCAAATGGTCATCCATAGAAGGGTCTCCATTACCTAAATGTATGGGTGGGTTGGTGTGATATTTCAGTTGCTGCCTTTTATTCCATTTAAGAGATTTCTCGTAGAACCATAGAATTGTAATTGGAGTGTTGGAAGGAACTCAACTCATCTAGTCCGACTCTCTACAATACAGGAATCCTGCCCACTGCAATCCCAGGCTGGGCTTCAAGCACCAACCTTCTGGTTAACAGCCAGATGCAGTGAACCATTGTGCCACATAGGTGTTCCTTCAGGTACCCAGTGCCCAAGTCATATAGGGCCATACTTCAGTAGTATGCTTTGCATGCAGAAGATCCAATTTTCACACTCCAGCATCTCTAGGTTAGGAAACACTCTTTTCTGAAACACTAGCTAGCCACTGCAAGTCACTGTTGACCCAGAATGTATTACCCCCACCCCAGATATTGTTGGATTCCAACTTCCATCAGCCCCAACCAGAATGGCCAATGGTCAGAGATGTTGGGTAAGAAGCAGAGACCACCAGTATCAAAACAATGATTCTTCAACATCAATTCGTTGGACTGGTCATGACGTTGTTTGGATGTCTGATTATCATCTTCCATAGCAGTTACTCTATTTCGAACTTAAAAATGGAAAGTGTGATGCTGGTGGTCAACAAAAGAGGTTTAAAGACTCTCTCACCAACAATTGGGAAACACTGGCTTGTGAGCACTTCAGTTGGAGAACAACCTTTACCAAAGGTGTCATGAACTTTGAAGATGTTTGAACTCAGGATGAAAGCGAGAAACACGCTAAGAGGAAGGTGTGTTTGGCAAACTCACCATGATCAACTCCCACCTGGAAACCTATATCCCCACTGTGGAAGGATGTATGGATCCTCTACAGTCACTGACGGACACACCGTTAAGGCCATGTTCATGGAAGACAATCTTACTCGGCTACGAGTAAGAAGAATACTATATAGACCCAACAATCAGATTTGATTTCTGTGTATGTCTTGCATGCCCCCATTACAAATAATTTGTCTTCTGGATTTGTTTTTACATGTATTCAGTAGCTCTACCACCACCATCACTGCTGTTATCCATTTCATACTCCTTGGGATACACTGAGGTTATTGCTTCCTGAATTCTCTCCAATTGGTTTGACGTATTTATGGCACTGGGACTCCTGGCATCTATTGCAGACGTTTTAAGCTGTATTTTGCCTTCATCCTACAGACTTGGACTGTCTCTGAAATTTATACCTGTAGCCAACAATATAATGCAGACTTTCAGTTTAACTACTGCTGTTGGGTGCTTTATTGTGGCATAAAAAGTAACAGGGTCCTGCTTCATTAAAAAAGGAAAACCAATGCAAAATGGGGTTTTGTGCTCCAACCCAAATATCTCACTTTCTCTCTCCTTCTCTGGAACTAAAAGGATGGCAAAACTTGGGTGCTCATATTAAAAACCAGGAGCCCAGATAGGAACATATTATTTGATACTTTCTCATTATATATGCATATGCATATACTCACAATCAATTTCAATAGATTTTTTTACAAACACCCATTTTGATTGCTTCTATTCCATCTTTCAGATCGGTCAAATTCTCTAAGCTGACTACAGATTAAGATAATTGACGTTTGTCAGCCTTATCATGGTCCTGATTGAACTGCTCTCCTATTTCTAGTGTTACTAACTATCTGCAACTGCCGGGAACTGGTGTAGTGTTCACCACAGGCTGGTCTTTATATAATTTCAGTTATAAGATTTTTTTTGTAGGGAGATACTGACTTCCTCAGATATTTATGGCTTCTTTTATTTCCAAGCGGGACTATCAGGGACGCGGGTGGTGCTGTGGGTTAAACCACAGAGCCTAGGACTTGCCGATCAGAAGGTCGGTGGTTCGAATCCCTGCGACGGAGTGAGTTCCCATTGCTCAATCCCTGCTCGTCAAAGTGCAAGTAGATAAATAGGTACCACTCCGGCGGGAAGGTAAACGGCGTTTCCGTGCACTGCTCTGGTTTGCCAGAAGCGGCTTAGTCATGCTGGCCACATGACCCAGAAGCTGTACGCCGGCTCCCTCGGCAAATAAAGTGACATGAGCGCTGCAACTCCAGAGTCGGCCACTACTGGACCTAATGGTCAGGGGTCCCTTTACCTTTACTGACTTCCTCAGATATTTATGGCTTCTTTTATTTCCAAGCGGGACTATCAGTGGTCTGTGCTTAAAGAAAAATAAAATAAAGAACAAATTCATGTATGTACCCCAAAAGCTGGATTCTGTAAGCTTATGTATGCAAAGGTGCTTAATTTGCTTATTTTGCATAATTTATTTGGCTTCTGTCATGGTGAGAAAGGAGTGTGGTATTATGCAGAGCAGCGAAGCCTGACCCTGTGACCACAGGACTTTCTACTTCCCATCTGGTTTCTGTTCTGCTTTCCCCATTCACATTAACCCTGTTCATTATGACCTTTGTGCATTTATCCCTCTGAACCTGTGATACTGGACAGGTCACTTCACTAACCTAACTTCTTTCCTTTCCTTTCTTTTCTTTTCTTTCCTTTTCTTTCCTTTTCTTTTCTTCCCTCCCTAGGGTAGTAGTCCTTAAATAGTGATTATGCAATGAATGGAATGACATTGCAATACTGTGTAGTCCAATGAGATTTGACTGCAGCGAGGATGGGGAAATCCTCTCCTCATCCAACCCTGCCCCTTGTACAGTAAACAGGCTGGGGGGAGGGAAGTCTCCCATTGGCTTCAGTGGATGGGTGGTGTATGTGAGAGTGGGAGAAAGAAACAGTGAATGAATTGGTGCATGCATGAATGAACAGGTGTGTGTTGTGTATGGGAATGAATGAAAATAGGGACATCCTGCTATACCCGCCAGTATTTCTCTGATGAAAATAGGGATGGCCTAAGGAAAAGTGGGACTCTCCCTGGAAAATAGGGATGCTTGGAGGGTCTGTGGGTGTTATTGTGGACATGTTTGAATAGCTATCTTTGGATATGAGGAAGGGAGAGTTTTGTGCAGTCCCACTGGTCTGATTCCTTGGTACAGTGGTACCTCTGGTTGCGAACAGGATCCATTCCGGAGGCCCATTCGCAACATGAAAAGAACGCAACCTGCAGTAGTGTGTCTGCGAATGTGCAGGTTGCAATTCGTCACTTCTGCGCATGTGCATGATGTCATTTTGCGCTTCTGTGCATGCATGAGCGGTGAAACCCGGAAGTAACCCTTTCCAGTACTTCCGGGTTGCCGCGGGGCATAACCTGAAAGAACGTAACATGAAGCAGATGTAACATGAGGTATGACTGTATATATATTGATCATTGGTATGTGAATGATAAAAACGTATATTTGTAGGTTTACTGCTACCAGGTTTCTTTTTTCTTTACTTTTAAGTTGACATTCTTAATATGCCAAACAGCATACATAGTGTCAACATTCTGTGCTTAGGTGGTGCAGCTGCAGAATGTACATATTATCCTGCCATAGATTGACCTTCTTCCGCGTTGCTGGCTGGCTGTTGTCGTTTATCTTTTCTATAGTGCCTGTAACATACACCAGGTACTTGCAAATCCTCTTTTTACTGCTGCCACTCTTGCTGTGGGCTTTTGTGGCTGCAATCCTGCACCCTCCCCTGCAGGGAGCTCAGAAACTCCCAGGGAGAGCAGGCACAACACTCATCTCCAAGCTGCTGCTGCTGCTCTGGTCACAACACAGCATTTGGTAGTCAACACTATTCTTGAGCCGGCCGAGTGGGGGACGATCACAGACTTTGTTGTTGTGTGAGTAACGCTGAGTCTCCCTAAGGTCTCCCTAAGTGAAAATAAACATGAAAGAGAGTGAAATTCTATAGAAGGTAGTGCTTATCAGAATGATGATAAAGGAACCGAGCGACTCATAACAGTAAATGTTCACTGGCTATTGGCAATGTGTTAGGAACTTTGGAGACTAGGACTAGAAAAAGAAAAAGTGCTATGCATTGAGAGACATCCAAAATTGGGTTGGGGCAAAAAAGGTCTCGCTAGATGGCCTGAGCTGATTGACAGTGTTGAGCAGATTACGTGGAAAAGGTGGTGGTTTTTAAGCAGAGGCTAGATAGCCACTTACATGGCAAAGTGTGTTCTCCTTCATGGAGAGCACGGGTTGCGGTGGGGGCCACCAGGACACTCCAAAGTTGGGGGCGGGCTAATTGATCGTTGGCCACTGATGCGATTGGGCTTCCCTTGTTGTTGGGAAGAAGTTAATGTTGCCATTTGTTGATTGACAGCCAGAAATGCTAAAACTCCTTGCACGAGGCTAGGGCTTCCTCTTTTCGCCCGTGCATCGGATTGCCCCCCCCCCATATTTAGGGTTGTTCGCTTTGACCTTGCTATGCCTGTCATGGGGTCGTCTGCTCTTGGGGCAGGGGCCCGGTAGGAATTTTGTCCATCTGGCTGGCTGGCTGGGGCCATTTGGTTTTTGCCTACTGCGTAGCAAATCGTCACAACTTGTAAGGTTGCGGTTAGGCATTGGTTTATGGTTTGTTTGGTTGAGGGGCATGGATTGGCTGTGCCTGCCCCTCTAATGCTGCTGCTGCAAGGGATTCCGTTAAAGGAATCAGGGGCTAACTATTGCTTGTCCACCCTGTCAAGGGGGCTCGGGCCATTGCAAGAGCTCCTGGTTGCATTTGGGGAGGGCTGAGGGCAGGTTCCCTGCTCCATCGCTACCCCCAAGTGTATTCCCCTTTTCTGACTTTCGCAGGCATGTGGAATGTCAGTCTGTCGCCCATGGGGGGGGCAGATAGTCGCAACCAATGCCTAAGCAACCATTCACATTTTTGTATTTTAATAAAGTTGTGGCCAAAATTATGCCAAAAACCTTAAACAAAAATTTCTGTGTGATGTGTGAGTTATTGGGGTGGCCCTGGGGACCTCGACACGCAAGGGGTTTGTCTAGCTGAATTTTCAGGTTGCTTCCAACTTTATGTTTCTAGATCTTGATTCATCCCTAGCAATTGCTCATCCTTCCTTTGAATGAGGCCAGAATTTTAGAGAAGCCTTCACCACTGTTGAGAAGAAAGGAAAACTTTTTACCAGATTGGTTTGACTAGCGAATATGACCTTCCAAGGTGCTCTCATCCTAATGCCCTAAACAAGTGACTGTTAGCAGTGAGGCTATAAACAGCATCTTGGAAGCGGAATTGCTGTGAGCTTCTTTTGTAGTGGAAACTTTGCAAAGCAGAGGTGGCTGTGCAGCAGAAGCTTGCCACCGGTCCATTTGCATGGCAA